ACGCCCCAGAGAATATTTGGACCGCGGATGGTTGATTACTCTTCGGATGTTCTGCTCCGAGCCAATCTCCTGAACCTACAGGGTTCATTGTTGAATGTGGGTTCGAAGAGCGAGACGGACATCAGCATCGACAAGTTTAGGTTTGGCTACGCAAACGATGATATTATCTCGTTTGATCGCCAGGTCAACCTTTATGAGTCGGTAGCGAACACCTTCCCCTCTGCTGGGCAGGATGTTTCGGTCAAGATCACAACCACATCCGAGGCCTCGAGGGTCAAGGTGAACACTCTTCCTCTTCACGTCAAGTTGGATCTTCAGAGACTGGACGAGACTTTCAGCTGGTTCGGAGGGTTGAGCAGCTTCCTTAACATGGGCTCCTCGATTACTTCAAACACTCCAAAGAGCCCCAAGAGTCCTGCAAAGACGCTCCAGAAACCGCGCAGTGTGCGTTTTGAGGCTCCAATCAACCCTGATGATCACACCGCAGCCAAGGAGAACAAGACCGACTTGCGTATCAACGGCCTCCGGGTAGATGTGATCGGCAAAGAATGCAGCGTGGTATTAAACACCAGTGCGCTTAAGCTGGTCAACAGGGAGGAGGGTCTTGCTGTCCATTTCAGTAAGATCCGGTTGGCCGGGCCGTATATGAGAAACTCCCGCGCAGAAGTTCCCATCATTATGGAAATTGCGGACACTAGACTTGAGTACATGTTGCTGCCGCGCAACACCGACCTCGAGCGTTTACTTGAGCTTATCACGCCATCAAACGTAAAGTTCGACGAAAATGAAGATGAAATCATGGTGGATACCCTGCTCAGGCAGCGAAAGAAGGGACCGGTTCTCTGCTTGAATGTAGGCAGAGTCAAGGTTGACGCAGGCAGGTTGCAGCAGCTTGGCTGTCTTCCTGGTCTTGCGGAGGACCTAGCCAAACTGGGAACGGTTGCCAAATACCTTCCCGAAGATGACCGGCCTGGGCTGTTGACTCTGGGTCAAATTAAGAACGTCGACTGCTTCGTTGATATTGGTGGTCGATTCGGTGTCATCCAAGCTTCCCTGAAGGACTTGGAGCTTGCACATATCACGCTACCCTCGTTGGTGGCTGTGGCTGTCAGCACAATCTCGGTCAACCGGAACAAGATCGAGGAGCTTGTGGGGACGCCTGTGACAGCTACTACTGGTATCTCGCACAAACCTCCCGTATTGATGATGAGGATGATTGACGATATGGAGCCGGTTCTCAAGATCAAGCTTTTGGGGCTGAACGTCGAATACAGAGTCCCAACTATTATGGATGTGTTAGGCCTCGCAGAGGATGCGACACCCCAGGATTTTGAGGCTAGCCTCGCTGCCTCTGTTGCAAATCTAGGAGACCAGGCACATGCTGCCATCAAAGGGGTGCCAGCGGGTCCAGTGTCTACGATTGACCAGTCGAAAAACTCGAAGCCCATCAAGGTCGACTTGGCACTGCGGGATTGTCTCATTGGCTTGAACCCGCTTGGGTTGACGTCCAAATTGCTTGTCGTACTCACGGAGGCACACCTTGAAGCGACACCAGGAAAGCGTAACACGGTCAACGCGGTTGCAACTTTGAAGAAGGCATCCGTTCTCCTCATCGACGACATCTCTATCCTCGAGGCCAATGATGGCAGGTTTGCATCTACGCGCCAGTCGCAAGTAACACCATCCCCGCAGGTGACAGAGCTGTGCGCAAATGGGTATGTGAATGTCTGCCAGATTTCGGCGGCGAAGGCTACCGTCAAGGTGGTTAAGGACACCGAGGGCGAGGCGCGTGTTGAGGTCGAAGTTCGGGATGATCTCTTGGTTCTAGAGACTTGTGCGGATTCGATGCAGACACTCATCTCTTTGGCCAATGCGCTCAAGCCACCTACACCGCCAAGCAAGGAGATCAAGTATCGGACATCTGTCGTGCCTGTTGAGGATCTCTTGGCATCGATCACGGCAGATGCCTTTGGCAGAGCGGAAGGTGACTACGATTTTGACAACGACTTTGCGATTGCTCAAGAGATTGGTGGCGACATTGGAAGCGACGATGAGTACTATGGTGGAGACAACGATAGTCCCCTTCAATTAGACTCGCAGTTCTACGATGAGGCAGCCATTCAAGAGGAGCTGTTTGATGCGACGGCCCCATCTCTAATAGGGAGCACAAGAGTCGAAGAGACTAGCGATGGTGTCTTGCTCAGCACTGCTAGTCTCTCGACGGAGGGCAATAGCGACGAACTTCTTGTCGAGGACAACTACTTTGAGGCAAAATCCGTGGTCAAGGGCACGGCGCATCGTTGGAACTCCCAGAGGAACACATATGACGAGTCCAACGACCTTAAAGTCCAACGCAGTCCCCTGAAGGTCTGCGTCCGAGACGTTCATGTCATCTGGCACTTGTTTGACGGCTACGACTGGGCTCGCACCAGGGAGGTCATCACAAAGGCCGTCCAGGACGTAGAAGCCAAGGCATATGAACGGAGGGCTCGGGTCGAGCGTAGGGGCGCCTATGAGCAAGACTTTGAGGAAGAGGAGACTGTCATTGGCGATTTCCTCTTCAATTCTATCTACATCGGCATTCCAGCCAACCGGGACCCTAGGGAATTAGCTCAGGCCATCAATCAAGAGTTAAACGATAATGCAACCGAGACGGAGTCGGTTGCAACGACGGCGGTAACCTCCACGACGGTTCGCGCAGCTGGACACCACCGGTCAAAATCGAAGTCAAAGAGCCTGAAACTAAACAGGAGCAAGCGTCACAAAATCACATTTGAGCTCAAGGGCGTCAACGCGGACCTCGTGACCTTCCCACCGGAATCAGGAGAGACGCTGAATTCGATTGACATACGGATCAATGACCTAGACGTCTTCGATCACGTCCCAACGTCCACCTGGAAGAAATTCGCCATGTATGATCACGATGCTGGCGAGAGAGAGCTGGGTGCGAGCATGGTCCATCTCGAACTTCTCAACACTAAGCCCGTGCCGTCGATGCCTGCTTCGGAAATCGTGCTCAAGGTCACCATCCTCCCTCTGAGGTTGCATGTTGATCAAGATGCGCTTGACTTCATCACTCGGTTCTTTGAGTTCAAGGATGATTCTGTTCCGACCCACGCCTCTCCCAGCGACATTCCATTCATCCAGCGAGCTGAAATCAACGATGTGCCTATCAAACTAGACTTCAAGCCAAAGCGCGTCGATTATGCTGGTTTGCGCTCCGGTCACACAACCGAGTTCATGAATTTTCTAATCCTTGAGGATGCTCGGATGGTTCTCCGTCACGTCATTCTGTATGGCGTTTCGGGTTTCGATCGCCTGGGCCTTCAGCTCAATGATATTTGGACCGACAATGTCAAGAGGACACAATTACCAGGAATCTTGGCCGGGCTAGCCCCGGTGCGCTCGCTTGTCAACGCCGGTAGCGGCTTCAGGGAGCTTGTTGAGATTCCCATTAGAGAATATCGCAAGGACGGCCGCATCGTCCGCAGTATTGGCAAAGGTGCGGCGGCATTCGCCAAGACGACAGGAACCGAAGTCGTCAAGCTTGGTGCTAAGCTTGCGATTGGAACGCAATACGCCCTTCAGGGTGCCGAGGGTATGCTTGTGTCAAACCCGCATGGCGAGGGCACCTCTGCGGGTGCAGATGAGTGGGAGGAGGATGAGTTCCGCGAGGACAAAAAGCAGATCAGTCTCTACGCGGACCAGCCGTTGGGAATTATCCAGGGCGTCAGGGGCGCTTATGCAAGCCTGGCCAGAGACTTGTCGATGGCGAGAGACGCTATTATTGCCGTGCCGGCCGAGGTGATGGAGAGCCAGAGCGCACAGGGGGCAGCCAAGGCAGTGCTGAGGAGAGCGCCGACCATTATCTTTAGGCCGGCGATTGGCGCGACAAAGGCGATTGGACAAACGCTGCTGGGCGCGACAAACTCGCTGGATCCGCAGAACAGGAGGCGGGCGGAAGCGGTGAGTTGGTCCTTGGCGAGTTGTTCGAGTGAAGGTTATGCTGACATGGAGACAGAAATACAAAAAGCATTAAGCCACGAGCTAGCTGCCGGGGTATCCTGCGAGTTACCAGTCGTCTACGCACAGGGGGCAGATGCGGAGTTGACAGTGAATATTGAGTTGGTAAAGGGCCACAGTACAGCCATCGGGAGAACGTATACCCTCATCATGCACAGCGAGGACTTTTGGCTTGGGGCTTGGGGCTTGGGTCTTGGGAAGGAGGGATTACAATCGTTTGCTTTTGTTTCTTGTTTATGCCATTGCTGTACACGTCCGTGTTTTTCTTCGGCCCTCGACATGGGATGGGCCAATGGGTGAGGTTTTCTGATTTTGTTTCTTTTGCTTTGCGAGATTGAGCATGATCATGAGCCACACGCATACTTCACACTATACACACACACACACACACACACACAAGTCTGCATCTAGACTGGCGCAGGTTGGAGGCAATTACTGATCTTTTATGCAACGGCATGAGCTTGGGGCACACTTTGAGACAAGTATGAAAGCAAAAACTTGCATGCTTTCATTCGATTGAGGGTTTGTGCAAGAGGTGAAGGTGGTGGCTTGGCTGACTAGATATAACATACATGGAAATAGGTGAGAAGAGGAAATGAGACGAATGAAACTCATGGGTATGTGATGTGAAATTTTGTTGAGGGCGCTTGTAACTTTACCGCATGAAGGCACCTGGTTTTGAGGGTAGATTAGCCAGACAGGGTAGAGTGGCCTATCTGATAAAAGAATGCAACACGATAGGATCTGGTCGAAGTTGAAGTTGCGGAGTTGACTGCAAACGACTTGATATCAAAAAGATATTAAAAGAGACCCGCGGAGTTAGAAATTGCCTCTTTCCTCGTATAAGTTATATGATGGTTGATGTCATGGCATCGTCACCTATGTGCTCTTCAAAACGACCCCGTTGACCACAGAGGCTCAAGGTAGAAATACAAGCAAAAATGGGAACACACAAGATGCTACTCTTTTGAAGAGAACTCGGATACGGGGAACCGAACCCCGGGCCCCTGAGTGCTCAATCTTGGGAGGTTTTGAGAGTCAGAAATGTTACCGTTACACCATACACGATGGATTGATGAGAGTAAGATGGTTTCTTTGTCCCACGTAGGGCCGACTCCATGGTTGGGAGCAGAAATTGAAGGCCGGGTGGGGATACTGGTGATATCTGTGTGGATCTCAAACGGAGAGATTGGGATGAGGTGGTGGATACTTACATTGGGGGTTGGCCTGAGCTTCGAAGGTCTAAGAGGCTGGGAGGTAACTATGAATGTTTTTGTGATTATATCTTTGCCTTTGCGGCACTGAAATCCGGCTTGATGGGTTTCTTGGGGTGGTCACCCGCTAGTGCCAGCCCGGTAACCTTCTCAAGCTCGTCAACAGCCTCAAACGCTCTCCCCAGCGGAACCTTGATGGTCCTGAACCCCGCCTGCCTTGCCGCCTTCAGGTTCTCCCCAATGTCATCCAAAAAGACCACATCACCCGCACGCACGCCCTCAGCCCAGCCCCCGCGCCGTCCTCTCTCCGAGTCTGCGTTGGCCCGCGCAAAGGCGTCAACCTGCTCCAACGTAAGCTGGTAGATGGCCGGGTCCGGCTTGCGCAGACCGACATGGGCCGACGAGACGAAGACGTCGAACTGGCTACGCACGGGGTCGTCCTCGGGCGCGACGCGCGAGTAGGGGTGGTCGGGCGGGAAGATGACGGTGTTGCTGAGGGCCGCGATGACGAACTGGCTGCTGGCGCGGAGGTTCCGGAGGGTGGGCAGCATCCACGGGTCCGGCACGCGGGCCGCGGCCATCATATCGTGGAAAAGCCACTCGGCGTCAATGGCCGGGACGGGAGGAGTGGTACGCGGCAGGGAGGGGTTGAGGGCGCGTTGATCGTGGTAGAAGACTGCCCAGCGGGCTGGCGAGTGCAGGTCGGCGGTGAAACCCGCGAAGAACGCAGTGTCCAGCGGGATGGTGCCTGTCTCGAGGCGGTGCCAGAAGCCGGCGGGTGCGGTCCGGGAGAGGGAGTAGTTCACCCAGCCTGGGGGGATGCCGAGGCTGAGTTCGTAATTGAGGATGGATTGGAAGGGGGAGATGACCTAGGCGGATTGTTAGTGTTTGGGGGGTATAAAGTGAGCATCCATGGCGCAGGTGACTTACACAGACACCGCCAATGTCGAAGAGGACAACTTTGGGCCGCTTGGGGGGCGCCATCTCGTCAATTGCCTCGAGAATGGTGTCTACGGAGAACTCGTCCGACAGCATGGTTTCTACCTCACTCCTCGAATGCCAGCTTCCGATATAGAAGCCATCACCCTGCGATTCGCGGTCGACTCGAAGTCAACTTGGACGAACGGGTCAGGTCTTGGCCAGAACTCGCTCGGCGGGTGTGGGAACCTCGGCTCTCGCTGACAGAACGCCCCGCCGCAGTACAAAAGTACTTGGTTACGTAATCGCTCGTCGCGCTCCTCTGCCCCGCCCTCGTCCCCCACCGCCCACCTGCACCTTAGGGCTGTTGGGGTGGATTTCTAAATTTCAGCCCACCAAATTATTTGGCCATCTCGAATTTCGTGTCCTCTTCTTCCACGTAGCAACGTCCGACCTGTTGTATCACCCAGCAACAGCCGTCAAGATGGTAAGTTGAATTCTAGCTCCGGTGCTGCGTGCCATCATGACTTGATGGCATTGCACCTAAGTGATACGTTCATCTGTCTCCGCGAGAGATAGAGAGTCAATGCAAGATGCTTCGGAAGGAGAATTCTGAAGCGCTAATTGCTGACTCGGGGATTTTGAACACCAGGTTTTCCACAAGCTGGTCAAGAACAGTGCGTACTTCAGGTAAGTCTCATTCTCTTCTCTCTTCCTCGCTCCGAAAATACAATCATTGCGCCGCGAGGGTGCTAACAGCCATGACAGTCGCTTCCAGACGAAGTACCGCCGCAGAAGAGAAGGCAAGACCGACTACTATGCCCGCAAGAGGCTCATCACCCAGGCCAAGAACAAGTACAATGCGCCCAAGTACAGACTGGTGGTCCGCTTCACCAACCGAGACATCATCATGCAGATCGTGACCTCCGAGATCACTGGCGACAAAGTTTTCTGCGCCGCCTACGCTCACGAGCTCCGCGCCTACGGCATCCAGAACGGCCTTACCAACTGGGCTGCCGCTTACGCCACTGGCCTGCTCATCGCCCGCCGTGTGTTGAAGAAGCTCGGACTCGATGAGGACTTTGCTGGTGTCGAGGAGGCTGACGGCGAATACACCCTCACCGAGGCCGCTGAGACCGACGACGGCGAGCGCCGCCCCTTCAAGGCCTTCCTTGATGTCGGCCTTGCCCGCACCTCGACCGGTGCCCGCGTCTTCGCCGCCATGAAGGGCGCCTCGGACGGCGGTATTCTCATTCCCCACTCCGAGAACCGTTTCCCTGGCTTCGATATCGAGGCCAAGGAGCTCGATGCTGAGACCCTCAAGAAGTACATCTTCGGCGGTCACGTTGCTGAGTACATGGAGACCCTCGCCGACGACGATGAGGAGCGCTTCAAGGGCCAGTTCGGTAGGTACATCGAGAACGATGTCGAGGCCGATGGCCTCGAGGAGCTCTACGCCGAGGCCCACAAGGCCATCCGCGAGGACCCCTGGAAGAAAGAGGATTCGGACGAGCCCAAGAAGAGCAAGGCCGAGTGGAAGAAGGAGTCGCTCAAGTACAAGACCGTCAAGCTCACCTACGCCCAGCGTGGTGAGAGGATCCAGAAGAAGATTGCTGAAATCCGGGCGACGGCATAAATTGGGAATTCAGGGAAGGGCTTATGTCAAGGTTGTTCTTTAGGAGTTCTCATGTGCACATCGGGAGGGAGACAATTAGGTTCACCAAAAACCAATCAACTTTGAGATGTGAAATCAAGCTATGGCCCATGGCGTTTCCTCGTGACCTGCATTGCGCGTGCGGTGCATGTCGTCTGTGAATTTTGGGGTTGCGCAGTGCGGCTTGTCACGGCACATTCTAGAGGCAGTGAATGCCTTTGTTTTGGTTGTTACCTGCCCGTACAGCAACTCGATCGACAGTTTGCAGTAGTTCGGCATCCGGATGCGGTGAGAGTCCACTTGGGTCCCTTGGATACCGAGCTGGTGTCCACCTTAGATCCCCCAACATGAGGTCATCCGGGGCTTTGTGGGCTCGGTCGTATGTTGATTGGGCATGTCGCATCTGCGGACTCGGTGAACCCTCGTTGCTTCCCCAGTAACAAGATACCATAGCACACAACCACACATGAGGCGAGGACGGTCTAGGATGGCGTGGATGGTATCATCCGGCAGCTAAGATGGGCATCTGCATTTGAGGGCTTAGGAAATGTCCATTCGAGGCGAGTGAGATTACTACTACTGCTAGGCGCGTGGGAGCCACGGGGGCCTGACTCGAGGCCTTCCGCTGGCGACCGAAGCGTTCCAAGAGATCCCGGGTGTTTTATTTTCCCTCATGCTAGGAGTCTGGTCAGTGACGTCGAGGGCCGAGAGCGACTTGCAGCAGCGCTGGACTCCATTTCGCCATGGCGGTGGCTGGCAGGTTGAATTCACCCTCAGTCTGGTTCGAGTGCGGGGAACTTTTGGTATCTGAGTGGGCGGGCAACAAGCGGGCAACTTAACTGCTTGCGGCGCTTTGCCGGTGGCCATCTAGACCGCTGCAGCATTCGCCTGAATCAGCGCACTCCCGCCTCTCGTTCTCCCAGCTGCCAGCAGCCCTTTGCAGCAACAATCGCGAGTGCTATTGCCCTGACCAGGGAAATAAAGTAGCCCGAGGGTATGCAATACCCGATGGTCTCCGGTAGCGTATAACTAAACGTGCCCTGGGCCAGGGGACTTTTCTAAGATCCATTCTCTTGTCGAGCCTGTCCATGTCAATTCCCTCGGCCACCCTAGCAATCTGGATATCAGCCCAGGACAAGCCCGCCGCAGCCTGCAGTCCACAACCAAGCAGCCAGCAGCTAAGCCGCTCTCGATCAGGTCGCACAGTCAGCTTGGAGGTGTACGGATCACGGCTATCTCACGCTTCTATTTCCACCACATTCACATTAGAAATCCACTTGCTCAACATCTTCATCTTGCTGGTCTTGTTATTTGACTTTCTACTTTCACAAATTTGCAGGCACCAGTCGAGACTATGGCTTCCGCGACCGTCATCAGATGGAACCAGTGACGGCACCCCACTCAACAAAGAGCTGGCAGCATTGACACCCTAATAACCCACGCAAGTCGCTGAACAGCGCCTTCTCCCTATCGACCTGATCTCCTGCCCCTCGCGCTTGCGCTCGCGCTCCCCCTATTTCCCTCTGTCGGGCATTCGTCCTCGGATAGGGGATCGCAGATCCAACCACGACCCAAGTCTGCTCTCTAAATCGCAATTATTGGCGACGAGGCCCTAGCACCGGCATTATGGAGCAGATTCACGGAGTCGACGTGAGCTGGATGACCCACGGCAACCCCAAAGGTGCGCACAAGACATACCCACAAAAGTGATCCCATGGTTACACTGGCTCGGTAAACTAATGGCGGTAATTCATGAGTAGACAAGGGCACAAAGGTTGTCACACGATCGAGGTCGATATCGCAGGGAGCCCGCGACATTCTTACCCCCGCGGCCATCTCGTCCACGGGCTCGCCACCGCCTCCGACTACCACGGTCATCAATGGCAACCAGATAGGCCCGGCCATTAGCAATGGCACAGGTGCACAGCCGGCGAAACAGGCCACACCCGCTCGTCCCGTTCTGGCCCGGGCAGCCAGCTCGGACGAAAAACGGTCTGCTGCATCACCGCAGCGGCGGGGTTCGTGGTTCTCCAATATCTCGTCCAAGTTTTCATCTGGCAACACGGCCAGCCAAAGCCCCCCACAGGCCAACACGGCCCAGCCAAAGCCTGCCGAGTTATCGGTGCCGAGACCAGCCCAAGTAAAAAACGCTGTCCTGCAGCATGCCTCCAAACACGAGGGCGAAGGGCCATATACCCCGGCACCGCCACGATCCTCCCAAGCAGGCATCTTGCACGTCTTTCGGAGACTGTCCTCTTCGAATGGCAACCTGGGTACCGTTG